GCAAAGGGCGTGTCGGGTGTGGTAAAGTGGTTTAATGTGAAGAATGGTTACGGATTTATCAACCGCACCGACACCAATGAAGACATCTTTGTCCATCAAACAGCTATTGCCAACAACAATCCCAACAAGTTCCTACGAAGCCTCGGAGATGGAGAGGAGGTTTGAAATTTTACTTGTATCAAGGCTGCGTCCATACTCAACACCGGTGGAGAATCGGAGATCGCGAGGGAAAGGAGATATTTGTATTGACACGAGGAGTTGCAAAGTAGGAAGGGGCGGAAAGGACCACATAATTATCGCTTTCATTGACTTCGACCTGTTTGTGAACCGAAGTAATGAATTTGTACCTAGTCTCCTTCCACAGATTCTCTCCTATTCGGTGCTGCGTTGAACAAGGTCTCAAAGGTTTTTGGCTTTCAGCAGATCAGTAGCTATATTGAGTTCCTTTTAGCTTATGTTATACGTTGTCGAGGGTGCAAAGGGACCAGAAGCCTCGAATGTGACCGCTAAGGATGGTGGACCCGTGCAAGGATCGAAAGTAAGTTGCTGGATGTCAATTATTTATTCCTATTCTTGAGTCCTTACAAATAGGTTTGATATTTCGAAAACCGAACATATTTATTTTGCATGTGATGATTAAGCAGTATGCCTGGTAAATAAGCGAGATTTGTAGTGGTTTTATTATCGACTGGGAATTTCTGGGTTATCAAGAAGCTGAATGTTACGATTTCATTTTGAAACAAATCGAAGCTCGGGTGTTACGGTTTCATTTTGAAGCAGATCTGCACTTTTCACATTTTGCTTAATTCGCTTCACCCAACACACCTCTTTCCCCCTACTTAAAAACACTTTGCTGACCCGCGTGATGGATACTTGTCATGTGCAAAATGAATAGTGTGAGTACGCAGCTGTAAAAGTGTGTCACTTCCACCACTCGAAAGCACGTCTGCCTTGCCTGTGGGTGAATTCAGCAGTCAGCGCAGAACAGCATTCGCCTATCATTTCCACCGTGACAAAAGTGGCATACTTCTACTGCACCTCACACACTGCAGTGACGGTGATCCTCGCAGGTGAGTGTACAGCCTATCTTTAGGCTGTGATTCTCATTTCTTAATTCTAGATGCCGTTTAAAATAAGAAAAATGAGAAGGAATTATATGAATGGCGAGCAAGTAAACTCCTACTATTCCGTAGTTTTCAAGAATTCACAGGTCCCTCCACAATACTTCGCCAAGGCTTCACAGATCTCCATAGAAAAATCCTGACAGCCCTGATGCCGAACTGCACCGCAGGCATTATTTCGATTAAGCTGCAGTGTAGCATCACAGTAATGTTGTGTTGTAGTTGTCAATTACTCTTGGGAAAAATATACAGTTGAATCGTCCGATACTAAATTCAAAAAAGCTCTACTTTTGTTACGTAAAAATTCGTAACCAGAAGCAAATTCTCGATCCATGGTACCGAAGATATGGTCGGAAAGTGGTGTGAAATTAAAAGTACAGTAGTGAAATCGATTCTCGATTGCAGCGATTACTTTCAGTATGCAGCCGACCGCAATTCGGAGCGTGGAGGACGTCGCTTTAGACGCAGAAATTTCTTCCGAAGCAGCCGTCGCGGAGGTGCGCCTGCTGGCGGTGAAGGACATGACGAAGGGTACACCAACGACCATGAGGCAGACAGACAGGAGGAGGTGAAGGTGTCTTATTTGAATGTATTCAGTAAAATATGAATGGAATAGAAAGAGCGCTAGATGAGCAAAGGTGTTGTATTCCAAGCAAGATTTAAGTTTATTCCAAAAACTCAAAAGACCGTGAAAGTCTTTTGAGTTTTTTGGAATAAACTTTTGGAGTTTCACATTGTTGTTACACAATCAGATAAGTAATGAGACGGGACAGCATTATACTCCAAGATAATTGAGTCGAGTTTCGACCGTGACTAATTTGATCTTTTAGTCCTGTCGGAGTACGCTAGTTTTACTGCTAGGTTCAAGAGTTATGAAGATTCGAGTTGTTTGGCGCGTTCTTTTGTAAAAGGGGCGTTTAAGCCACTTGGTCCGGCGCGATTTATTTAGAAAACCAATCGATTGGCTTGTGGAATGAAGTTACCGGTCAGTGTTCATAATTGTTCAGGGTGGCCAACGTCGTTTCCGTGGAGGCCGAGGTCGCGGATATCGCGGCCGCGGTTTCCGTTCTGGTGGCGGTCGTGGTGGCTCCTATGCAAATGCGAACAATCATGAGGATGCGTCTGCTGAGGGACAGCAGGTTGGAAACATTCTGAGAAAAGGTTTTTTATTTATTATTTCCACTAAATAATTATGGCTCATCAGGCTGACGCAGTGAATGGAGGTGAAGGGGGACGTGGAAGAGGACGCAGAGGACGTGGTGGTCGTGGACGTGGAGGTCGCGGACGTGGTGGCAACGGAAACGGTGCCAAAGAGTCTGAAGCTTAGATGTAAGTTTGAAGCACATTTGGCATAATTCGGCTTGGGGGGGGGGAGCTTGGAGTGGTGCTCAGCGAACCCTTTACAAGCCATCCTGTGAAGACATTTAAATTCGTGCAACCAAAATGGTTCACTCATTCCGTGGTGCAGATTCACACGATTTCATAGCTTTGGCCAAAATAAGACCTGAAAATTAACATGAAATGGCAGAAGGAACTAGCGAAAGTGCAAATTGCCCCTCTCATGCCGAACAATACCAAAGATTTTTCTGTTATAGTTTTTCTAAAATATTATTTTTGTCTGCTAAATGAGTGGATTAGAAGAATTGTGCACGTTTTTAGTAAGATTGAAGTTTTTTTCAGTGTACGATCCTCAGTCTTCTGCTCCCTAGTTCAATTTCTTGGGCATCAACTGTCATCCAGCTTCCATCGTTTACTTATTCTACTAGATCAAAAACAAAAACGACGAACTCCGTTACAATTGACATCAGTTTATCATCTATGGAACAGCTCTAACCGTACGCTGGGCTACCGTACAGCAGAATCCAACAGTAATTAAACCAATCCTAGTTTTTGCACCGCCACAACATCGGCGGTAGCCAGGCGGCATGGAGTGACCAAGCCTCGTTTATTCTACTTCCTTAAGTTATTTGCAGTCATAATTCCTTTGTTTACCGATTTCCGGTATCCAAAGATTGTAAGAATTGTTTTGTTTCAAAGTTATTGTAAAATCATGATGAGGTCTTGGCTCGCTATCATACAACAACTATGCCCTATTTCTTGATTTCCACCACCATCTTTTAGTCTGGGTGATGCCCAGAAATCGTTCTATATCTTTGAATAAATTGTTATGTTCTTATGTGCTGGAGATTCAGTGTCACTATTCGCTTTTGGTCAGAAATTCGAGCGTTTGTGAACCGTCAGGGGATGCGAAAAATATGTGCAAAAAATCGGGGGGGGGGGAGCTATTTCGGCTAATGCCGTTTGGACTCCAGCAATTTTCATTCTCATTTTTAAATTGCCTAAGTCACCAAATCCGCTAAAAACTTGTATATAGGGGTAGTTTAACATCCTGATTACGAATATGACATTCACTCTTGCCGCTGGCGCTAATGGATGACACTACGATTATCTGCGCTCTGCTAAGGCTGAGCCCAGGAGGTAATCGTAGTGTCATCTCTTGGCGCCAGCGCCAAGAATGAGTGTCATAATTGTAATCACGATGTTAAATAACCCTTGTGTACATGTTTTCAGCGGGTTTGGTGACTTAGGCAATTTAAAAATGAGCTCGGTGCCGAAATTGCTGGAGTCCAAACGGCATTAGCCGGCTATTTCCGCATTCTAACATGGATATTAAATTAGACCACCTCAACAAATAACACAGCACACAGAAGCAAGAAATAGTTTTACTAAGTTTTTACTGTGCCTTTCGAAAGGGTTTAGACGCATGCCGCATTACAACAGAAATGCCAGATTACCAAACCAAACCAGCTCCAGATTATGAAGCTCGAAAGCATTTTTCCTTTTGTATGCCACTCCCACGTCACGAGTTCCCACCCTTCTAGCAAGTAGTATTTGTATTAAAGGCGCTACAAAGGCCATACCTACGGTAATACGGTATGGTTCTGGTAATAACGCCTGCAGAAAGGTAAGTCCGCATTGAACAGGCGAGTCCTTTGTCGGGAAGAGCGCTCTCGAAG